TCACTAAAAAATTCAACTAGTGATTTAAACCAATTCAGTAATTCCCAAGAAAGATCGTCAAAACAATCTCCTTAGATAGAATTACCATTCCAAATAAATTCCCAGAAAAGGTTAGAGGGGTCACAAGCGGTCCCATTTAAAATCCAGTTTTCTAGACAGAATTTACGTGCACGGTGTATTATCACAACTAGATTGGTGTATACATAAATAATACGTATACACGAATAAGAAAATACACCCAAATGAATCGTATAAAATACTACAAATAAACCCGACAAATATATATTGAATACTATACTACAATTGAAAAGAAACTACTAAATAAATGCGGAATAAATAAAAGAGATAAGGAAAGAACGCATCCGAAAAATTGATAACGAAATTCGACCAATTTTGCCTAATTTTCGAGCACCACTCAAGCAGCCTGCTCTTATAATTTAGGAGAAGAAAGAATTACAAAAGAATTATTGTTGTTGGTGTAATTGAATTGATTTGCATAACTCTCAAGCCCTTACCCAAGCTCTCAATTCCACCGATGTGGGATAGAAATTGATGCTACAAATTCAACAATTGTGACTTGAAAAAAGTCAACAATTTAGGCTTTGAATTCAACAATGGCAACCTTCCAACCGACGTAGGTCTCACCCTACCAAATCTGCAATTCCTAGGAATTAGGATGAACGACTTCAATGGCAACATTCCACTTTCCATCACCAATGCTTCTAGGCTTGAGCAACTTGCCCTTGATGACAATAAGCTTGAAGGGCAAGTTCCCAGCTATCAAACCTTCAATCAATAGCATTTTCTGGAAATTGGTTAGGGAGAAATTCTACTGGAGACTTGAATTTCATTGGATCATTGACAAGCAATAGTAATCTATATACTATTGCCTTAGATGACAATAATTTTGGTGGTGAATTGCCTAAGTCCATGGCAAACCTCACACATGGGCTCACTGAATTAGGCCTCGGAGGAAATCAAATATGGGGAACTATCCCGGAAGGACTTGGAAATCTTGTCAATCTAATTGTCTTTGACATGTCATGGAATTCTCTTTCAGGAGTCATACCAAGTGACTTTGGTAAATTTCAAACATGCAATATTTGGGTCTAGAACGAAACAGGTTGTCGGGAGAAATTTCGTCAAACTTGTGTAATACTAGCTCTCTGTACCATCTGGACTTAGCAGACAATCTTTTTGAAGGCAGCGATGTATTTGGCAGTATTCTCATGAACTGTGGAAATCTGCAATATCTGGACGTATCTATAAATATTCTTAGTGGTGTTATATCACCACAGTTTTTTGAGATGCACACCTTGCTATTATATCTGGGTTTGAGACAGAACACATTCAATGGTTCTGTACCTCTGGAAGTAGGAAACCTGATGCACATGGTAAATTTCACTGTAGCCTACAACAGATTTTCTGGAGAAATACCCCAATCGCTTGCTGATTGTTTGGATTTAGAGACTCTTGAAATGCAGGCCAAATTTTTCGAAGGGACGGTTCCCTCAAAAATTGGCTTCTCTGAAAGCCATCCAAGTATTAGACCTTTCATTTAACAACTTGACTGGACAAATACCAAGAGACCTTGAGAAACTTCAGCCGTTGAGTATCTGAACCTTTCTTACAATTACCTTTATGGGAAGATACCAACAACCGGAATATTTGGGAATGCAAGCCTAATAGTTTTGATGGGAAACACCAAACTTTTTGGAGGCATTACTGAATTGCGTTTCCCACCTTGTCAAGTGATCATGGGAAAGAAAAAGGAAAAGCATAAGATCATTGTCCTATTATCCACAATTTTACTAGTAACATTCTTGGCTTTTGGTATAATATTGTTGTTCTATTTGGGAGTATACCAAAAAAGATATCGAAGAGAAGCCAGCTCATCTTTCGTGCACCCAACAGTGGATAAGCTCTTGAGAGTTTCTTACCATGAACTCCCGCGTGCAACTTCGGGATTTTCTCCAGAAAACTTGATCGGATCAGGAAGTTTTGGGATTGTTTACAAAGGCAGGCTAGATCAACACGGAGATAGGCTTGTTGCAGTTAAAGTTCTTGACCTTCAGAAGAATGGGGCTTCTAAGAGCTTCAAGGCTGAGTGCAAAGCACTAAGAAACATCCACCATCGAAATTTAGTGTCTATCTTAAGTTATTGCTCCAGCGTTGATTCCAAAGGTCATGAATTCAAGGCTCTAGTTTTACGAGTTCATGGAAAATGGAAATCTTGACTTGTGGTTGCATCCAGAAACAACTGATCAAGCAACAACATCCAGCTGCCTTAATCTTATTCAGAGGCTGAATATTGCAATTGATGTTGCTTCAGCGGTGCATTATCTTCACAACCAATGTGAAACAACAATTGTTCATTGTGATTTGAAGCCAAGCAACATTCTTCTTGACAATGACTTCGTTGCTCACGTGGGTGATTTGGATTAGCAAGGCTTCTTCCTGAAACCATCAGTACTTCTTCTGACCAGGGAACCAGCAGTGCTGTTGCAATTAAAGGATCAATCGGATATGCGGCTCCAGGTAATTTATATCCAATTCCAATCTATTAAGGTATGGCCAAGATTTGTAGATACAAAAAGCCTAAACCAAATTGAATCACTGGTTCTTAAACAACACTAGATTCTCTGTGAAACAGAATTCAAGCTAAAGTGTAATTAAAAATTTTTAATAATAAACTTATATTTTTATTGTCGTGTATTCTTACTTCTTAACTGCGGTAATAGAATTAATTACCCCTGACCAAAGCCAGTTGTTTTTGCAAAGCATTTGCATTTTGCTTCTACTTAGTTACGATTTCTCACACTTGATTCATTAATCCTATTTCGAAGAGTTGCCTTGAGTTGCTTTTTCATCAGAGTAACATATTGAAAGAAAATTTCAGAGTACGGGATGGGTCTCCCTGCATCACCTCAAGGCGATGTTTATAGCTATGGGATATTTCTGCTGGAGATGATCACAAGAAGGAGGCCAACTGATAGGGTGTCAATTGTTAGTAATTTTATTGTTAATTTTTCTCTTTGATCTTGTCAAGTATTGCTTTAATTGTGATATATATTTATATTTGGTATTTAAACCCAATTTCAGAAATTGGAGCAGAAACCTTCTTGAGAATATTACTGTGAGAGCTTCTAAAAGCTTTACACGATTGGCCCACATGCATGGTGTAAACCAACGCCCTTTCCTTTTGCTGATGAAGAAGAATTGAATTGCATTTGGCTAGCCAACATCTCAATTAGGTGGGGACCGTGAAGACTTGACCATTGTGTAAAGATAATTTCCTTTCTTGATTCACGGTGCCTTTGGTGAGAAGAAGCCCGACAAACAAATGTGGCTTTTGCTTTTGTTTTCGGTGGGATTGATTAGGTACAAAAAGAATGGTTTCTTTTGTGGGCGAGGGTGTGAAGTTTTGAAGATTGGCTTGTTTTTATTTTTAGAGAGCTTCTGGCATGAAGGGAGATTTTCTCTCCGAGAAGACTACAAAGTAGAATGTGAAGTTTGAGGTGAAGTTTTGTAGTTTGAACGTTATTTTCTATTGCTTGACACTTCAGTTTAATCACAAGGAGATTATGTGAAATGGCTCTAATAAACAAGATGATAAAGTATAACTTACCTAAGAATAAATAAGAAAAAAAACTTGACCATTCTATTGAAGCAAATTTGATCTGTTGTACGATTTGTCCATTCTATTAATTTTATTCTTTAGCTTTTGGAAATTAATGTCTCTCATAGAAGGGCATTTCTGAGTTACCAACATGCTAATGTAAACCTTTACACTGGTCATAGGGCAGAGCCAGAAATAATTTCTAGTGAAGCAAAAATAATATTAAAGCTTCTTCTTTATTTTTCTGAAAGACATAACAATAACATTTGTATAACAAGCAAATGTAATAAATGTACATCATGATTAATATAACCCAAAATGGCATGCTAAAACTCACTAATAAGATAATCGCTTTCTTTTGAAATGCATACTAAACATCTTTAAATTGCTCGTTGACGTGTGATACATTGGAAAATATTACTTTATCTTTATTTCTCATTGCACGGACAATTATTTAATTCTATATACTTATTAACAAAATGTACTTTTTATTTTATTGGAAAAAATCCCAAGAACGTATTTAACTAATGAGTAGTAAATTAAAATGACTTTCAAGGAAACTAAATGATTAGAGTAAAAAGAATTTGATTTTGAATTGTTTAGTATTCCAATTCCATAAAATCACAAACCTAGTGATTGATTTTGGAGCAGTACATTCACTTTTCAGAAAAATTTATTGGGAGGCAAAGCTAAAAACTTACTAAAATTGAAGGCTATACTAGTGGAATTTGGTGACCCTGCCCCTACTTTAAATCTGCCACTGACTAGTCATCTCAATTAATTTCTGACTACATACAAATCTAACTTAATGTGAAGATCTTCAAGCTGCTAAAATTGTGATTAGCATCAGGAAAACACACGAAGAAATGTAAGTTGAGGGAAAACATGAGGTTGGCCGTAAATTAGAAGATGAGGGAAGGAATAAAAATATAACTAAGTAAGAAGAAGCGAATGCTTTTGTTGATTAGGTCAAGAGAAGACAACACATTTTCTCCAACCTCAGGTAAATTATTTGTGCTCAGTTTTGCATGTTTGTGAAGACTCAGAGCAAAGCAATGGAATGTGGTTGCCACCCCGTCATGAGCGGCAACACCACAATTGGTTTCCAGTAGTCAAGCCATCATGTGGGTCTTGATTCCGTCGAGTGCAGCTAGCCAGCCAGTCTTCTTGGTTTCGATGGGTCATTGTCTAGTAATATGTGTTGATTTTTCTTTTAACCAACGACTGAAAATTGTGGAAATTTCACTTTTAGCATAACTAGTCAAGTCATGATCCTGAGAATATTTTGAGGCCTTGTGCTCGTTCTAGTTGCTTGAAGTTATCATAGATAAGCCGAGGCTTGACCAATTAGCGAATAATTAACAGTTCGTCTGATATATGGATGGCAATCAAGCAGAGTCTACACTTTGGATGGAATCTGATATCTCCAGAGACTAAGAGCTCTGACTTTGGACCACAGCCATTGCGAAATATCATCAGTATTTGTGTTGTTGGAAGCTCACTGTATTAAGTTCTCACATCGAAGTTTAGCTCATTTTTCTCGAAAATATACCAAGAAAATTAAGCCCAAATTTCGTTCCAGTTGTTTGGGCTATATAAAGCAGAACTACAAGAATCTATAACAGCTCAAACATTGTTCCCATTCCACAGAAACTTTTATCATTCAATCATCAATTTGTTGCAAATTAATCCATCTCTGCCTTCACAGCCCATCGAAATTCCAAATACCATGTGGGGGTTTCGCTCATCAACATTAGCAAACATTTTTCTCCTACTCTTAGTTGCCATGAGCTTTTCAGTAAACCATGTTTCAGCCTCTAAACAATTCAAAATGAAACTGATCGCCTTGCTCTGCTTGAATTCAAGAATCAGATATATGACGACCCGTTTGGAGCGCTGAAGTCCTGGAACCATTCACAACACCATTGTCAGTGGGAAGGAGTCACCTGTAGTACCCGACATCAGAGGATCATTGCCTTGACTCTAAGGCAGAAGCAGTTGTCTGGAACCATATCTCCTCAGGTCGGAAATCTAAGCTTCATGAGGTTCATTCAACTTGGGGAGAATCAATTCCATGGTGAGATTCCCCAAGAATTCGGTCGCCTCTTCAGGCTGAGAGTCTTGAACCTGTCAAGTAACGCAATCAGTGGAAAAATCCCAGCAAACTTGAACTACTGCTCAGAGTTGGTAACTATTAGCCTAACGAGGAACAAGCTAGAAGGGAAAATTCCGATTGATCAGCTGAGCAGTGTGAAGAAGCTTAAACGAATAAGTTTTAACCAAAACAATTTGACGGGAGAGATTCCCTCTTCCATTGGGAACTTATCATCGCTGACTTCACTCAGTCTTGCCTTCAACAATCTGGAGGGAAATTTGCCCATGGAAATGGGGCTCTTAAAAAGGTTATCTTTTTTTGCAGCTTCAGAAAATAAACTATCTGGTATAATCCCTGCCTCCATCTTTAATAGTTCAGCCATTACTGTCATTTCAGTGGGCGGCAATTCCTTTCATGGCAATCTCCCAACCAACATAGGCCTCACCCTACCAAATCTACAAGTGTTGTATGTCGAGGGGAACAATTTCTCTGGAAACTTTCCAACTTCAATCACTAATGCTTCTGGGCTTGAGATACTTGATCTTCCCTATAATAAGTTCGCAGGCCAAGTTCCAGCTAATTTAGGAGATCTGACACAACTCAAAAGAGCTAATCTTAATCACAATCTCTTCGGCAATAATTCTACAGGAGATTTGGATTTTATTGCATCACTGACCAACTGCAGTAATCTAAGAATTCTTTCCTTGAGTGCCAATACATTTGGAGGTAATGTACCTAAAATCATGGCCAATCTCTCAAATCAACTCGCAGCATTGTACTTGGGAGGAAACCAACTGTCAGGAACTATTCCAGAAGGGTTTGGAAATTTTGTCAACCTATATCTCCTTAGCCTTAAATTGAACTATCTTTCAGGGGTCATTCCAAGAGATTTTGGCAAATTACAAAATTTGCAATTTTTAAGTCTATACCAAAATGAGTTGTCAGGACAGATAGTCTCTACCCTATGTAACGCCACCAGTCTATGCCTTCTGGACTTATCAATCAACCAGTTTGAAGGGGGCAATATATTTGATGTTCTTATAAACTGTCAAAATTTGCAATTTCTGCAATTATCTCAAAACAACTTCACTGGAATTATATCACCACATTTTCTGCAGACGCACTCATCACTGATGCATTTGTACTTAAGTGAAAATTCGTTTAGTGGTTCTCTGCCTCCTGAAGTTGGAAAGCTTATACATTTGGTGGATTTAGATGTTTCCCAAAACCAACTTAGTGGAGGTATACCCATATCACTTGCTGATTGTACAAATCTGGAGATTCTTTTTATGCAATCCAATTTTTTCCAAGGAACAATTCCACCAAATTTGGCTTCTTGGAAGAGCATCCAGCAATTAGACCTTTCAAGTAATAACTTGACTGGTCCAATACCAAAAGAACTTGAGAAGCTTCAATTTTTGAGGTACTTAAACCTTTCCTATAACGACATCGAGGGTGCGGCACCGAACACAGGAGTTTTCAGCAATGCGAGTCAAATATCACTGATTGGCAACAACAAACTCTGTGGAGGGATTCCAGAATTGGAGTTCCCACCTTGTCCACTGATTAAGGGGAAAAACAGAGGAAAGCTGAAGGTTATCATATTGATGTCCATTGTTTTACCAGCAACGCTTCTGGTTCTCGGTGCATTGTTGTTATATTTCTTGGTATATCATAAAGGAAAAAGAAGACTGGTGGCCGGATTCTCTAGCATGCCTACAAGAGTCGACAAGCTCTTGCGAATTTCTTACCATGAACTTCTTCGTGCAACTTCAGGATTTTCTCCAGAAAACTTAATTGGTTCAGGAAATTTTGGATCTGTCTTCAAAGGAAGGCTAGAAAAACATGGCAATATGCTTGTAGCGGTCAAAGTTCTTGATCTTCAAAAGAACGGAGCTTCTAAAAGTTTGAAGGCCGAGTGCAAAGCATTGAGAAATATTCGCCATAGAAACCTCGTTTCTATCGTGAGTTATTGCTCCAGTATTGATTCCAAGGGTGATGAATTCAAAGCTCTAGTCTATGAGTTTTTGGAAAATGGAAATCTGGACTTGTGGCTGCATCCTGCAGAGACAACTGATCAGGCAACAAGCTCAAGAAGTTTTAATCTTCTTCAGAAGCTAAATATTGCAATTGATGTAGCTTCAGCATTTCAGTATCTTCACGACCACTGCCAAGCAGAGATTGTTCATTGTGATCTAAAACCAAGTAACATTCTTCTTGACAATGATCTTGTTGCCCATGTGGGTGATTTTGGATTGGCAAGGCTTCTCCCGAAACCCGTAAACACTTCTTCGGAGCAAGGAACCAGCAGTACTATTGCCATAAAAGGAACAATAGGTTATGCAGCTCCAGGTAATTACAACTTTTTATGGTCACTGATGTTACTTAATTGTGCACAGAAATATAGAACTTTTGGGACATTTAATTCTTTTTAATTTTTTTTATTATAATTACTATGAGATCTCTAATCACTGATGAATAGTAGCTAATTTTAGTTAATTCACTTTGTTATAAAAGAAGGTCCATTATGCCCCAATCTAACATTTGATTAATTTTAATCACTTAGTTTTTTTTATAGTTTTTCTTTTATTACCCAATAATAACATGTCTAGAAACAAAATCTCAGAGTATGGAATGGGTCTTGCGGCATCAACTCAGGGGGATGTCTACAGCTACGGCATTCTTTTGCTAGAAATGATTACAAGAAGGAGGCCAACAGATGATATATTCGTTGGTGACCTTGATCTACATAACTATGTTAATGGGGCTTTGCATGAACGAGTTTCTGAGATAGTGGACCCGTTGCTTTTTCTTGAAGGAGATGAAAACAGAAATATGACTCCTGGAGGGAAAAATAGCAATGGTGGAAAAGAGATGGAGTGCATTATTTCCCTGCTGAAAATTGGACTTAAGTGCTCTGCAAGATTACCATATGATAGGATGCATATGAATGATGTTGTCAGAAAATTACATCTCATTAAAGATGTTTTCCTTGGTGTCAGAGTGCATCAAGAAAATCTTGAAGCTTAATATCTGCAGGTATACTCAAGCATTTAATACAGCCCACAAGTTGAAGTCCATTTTTTCTATATTAGGTAAAGTATTTTATTCTTGACATAAGCTTGCAAGCAAACTCGTTCTACCAGTCAAAATCTATTCCAGTCCAAACCAAAAAAAAAAAAAGCAACAGCTATGTGTTGTGCTTACAAGCATGGAAAAAGATGGCTTCTCATACTAATGCATGAATTCTTGATTTGCAGCTGCTTACAGGTCTGAATCTCCAAGCTGAAGTTGTTAATGGGGTGAGCTAATGAAGAAGACACCTTTGGCTTTTTATTTGAAAACTAGGAGGTATAATCCGCGCGGTGCGCGGAGGTATAGAAAGAGAAGATGCCCAAGACAAGCATATGATATGGAAGGAAAATATCGGAGAGGATATAAAGCAAAAGGCAGAAAAAAGGATGAAAGGCGTATTAACTTGCTAAATTGAACATTTTCTACATCAGAAATATCAAGGCATGATAAGCAAAATCTATAATAATAAAGCATCGAATTTGCCACTAGTCATATTAGACTTTGTTAGAGCTACTAATGACCGACAAAGTTGCAGCAAATCACTAACATCTCACGGCAGCCTTTAATTCATAAAGAAGGAGCTATAAATATTTGATACAAGGTAGTCTCCTTACTCCTTTGTAGATGGGCCTTCAACTCCCTGCATGAGCTAGAACAGGAGTACAATTTTTGGCTCTATGTTTAGTTGGTCTTTGTTGAAGATGATCGGCTACTAAGGGAACGACAGCTCCACTAAATTTTACATGGTCCCAGAAATCACCCCCCTTCCTTTCCAATCCCCTTCCACTGTTTTCTTGTCTTTTAGCAACTTGCACATTGCAGGCGGAGGAGATTATGAACTTCTATTTTGTGACTGCAAAAACTGCTGGCCCTTCCACCTGGAATAAATCACCAAAAAGATATTGCAAAAGAGAACAAATTTCAGCATCACCAAACCAGAGTGAATCTAAGCCATGATTTTAAGACAAGCCCACATGATAAACAATCATCTTTGACCAATAGATCCCCCTAATAAGGGACCAAATGACCTCACTGAGTATATGTTCCTGGATTCCAAAAAAAAAAAGGTTTGCACAATTTTTTTTTCTTTTCTGTGTTATTTGGCTGGTAACATAGAGAGAATCTCATCTGTTTACCATGAACTTTGCTCCCCATATTTCTTCCTCTTTAGCTGGAATTGTAGTGATCTTATTCTTTGGATTCTCATAGCTTCTCAGTTCACCCAAAGCTGTGGAGAAGAAGGAACCTGAACAAACAGACATCAACGCACATTACAAGATTGGAATTGTTCAACATAGCAAAGAAATTTGAAAGAAAAGATGTACTAACAAAAAGAAAGGAACTTTAGTGTTCCTTAACACAAGCAGTTAATGTATTCATTAATTTAAGAATCAATTCTTTGATGGCTGAATTGAGTGCCTAAGAATCAAATTTACCTTGAGGGAAAGATGCAAGGGACTTGCCACAAGCACCTTTAAGCAAGTCAGCATCATCTGCAAATGCTACCCATCCATCAGCAGTGATTCCACAATATAGAGGAACCTTAGCCTTTTCATCCTGTCACAACATCACCAACCAGACTGTTAAAACATTTCAATTAAGTCAAATTGGTAGGTAAGGAAATGCGAAGATCACTCACAGTAGCCACAAACAAGGTGGAGGTGGCCTTGCCGAAGACAATAAATGCAAAATTCCTTTCTAGGTGGCCAACAACATGGTTTGGAGGATAACGTGCCCTGTCAAGGCGCTTCAATCATCAAAGCCACCTCATTTGAAGACTTTGGAAGCCTGTATTGTTGCTTCAGACTCCCTAGATTATCAAGTGCTCCCTCAAACAAGCAAAATATGTCATCCTTAACTGCGAATGACCTACAAATTTGTATCACCAAGTTAGTTTCACACGTCACTTTTTTAAAAAAATTGATTCACATAAGGCCTAATTACTGCTAACCAACCAAAAATAGGTTTGCAAGTTAACAGCTCTAAAAGTTAAAAGATATATGTATATTTCATCAGATCATCGCACGGTACTGACTACAAAGGTCCCAATTTTTTGCTTCTTCCCCACCAACTCTCTCCCCATTTTTTTTTTAAATAGACTCTGGCCGGGAGGGGGTTGGGGAGTTGGACTTCTTGGGGAGGTTGACTGACTGAATGGAAATGAATGGGAGTGAGTTCAAGTAACTTGATTCTCAAGATAAAATGAAGCTGCTAAATTTACCTCTGTGTTTTCTTTTCTGCCAATTGATTTTGTTCCGTATTAATCACTAAAAATAATAATAAAACATACTCTTACTTTAGCCGGTACTTGTAAAAGCAAGAATGTACTTTCACGTTTAGACCCAAAGGCATTGCATGTAGTAATTAAAAACAACAATTGAACAAAGGGAATTAATAAAGGGAAGTGCTGATCGATCGGACCAACTCTCTATACTCACTGAGGTTGATTTGTAAGCAACTCTTCTCAAAGTACAGTTTGATTTGTAAGCAATACTCACTGAGGTTGGCCGCCGGCAACATATGTGATATGATATGCGCGGTGGGCTGGGGTGGAGGTCTTTCAAAATGGTGTGAACCAACTATATGCGAGTATTAACGATGTTGCTTGAACAAGCTTGAACAAGGGACAATCCACAAAAGCTTGAACAAGGGAAATAGAAAAAATGGGAAAGCACATCAGAACAAAGAAGGTAGTACCTTAGAAAGGGCAAAAAACAGAGCAAGCTGCGGAAGATGCTTCTGCGCTTCCAACTCTATCTTAGACAGAGAATAAGAGTCCAGAAATTAAAAATCATTCTACCTGCAACCTGAAAAAAGTGAAAAAAATTCAATGCAATGAAGGTTTTAACCCAAAACCAAGAGAAAGGGGAAAAAAAGAGAGAGATCTGGCGCATGTTGATGACTGAGGAAGGGGAAGAGGACCGGCCATGAAGCTCAGTAAAGTCACCAATCCAGAACACGTCGTCTTCGTTAAGCTCTGGAGGCAGAGTTGTCTCCAGAAAGTAGTGAGAGCAGTGCTTCGTTCAGTCAGAGCGAAAACGCCGAGAAATCTGTCAGAGGAGGGCAATTGACGATGACAGGAATTAACGGTACCATTTTGGTCCATTTGAGTGTGACAGCTATGGTCCTACCTACTACTACTACTGTTGCCACCAGCAGTAGTGAAACTGCAGGACCGCGCGAGTAATCTGTTGGCGTTGGGATGGGTTTAGCTTCTGAGGATAGAGGTGAGGCGAAGGAGAGGAGGAGAGAAGAAAGAAAGCGGCGGTAGCGGCAGCGGTGGAAATTTAAGAAAACCCTAGAGAGGAAGTATATGCAGGCGTCGGCGCATCGCGCGGGAAAAAAAGGCTGGTGACTCACATGTGCGGCACGTGAGAGGACGACGAAAACCATTCCAGGTCACAACAGGCCTTCGGCTCTTACTCTATATATGTTGATAAAAATAAATGGATGATTCAAACATATTCCTTTAGGTTCTTCAAAGAAATTTCAAAGCAATAAGAGCAGTCCCACTACTTTATTAAAGAAATTTTATGACTTTTTCTTACCATTGAACGCTCTCATGATGCTACAATAATCTTGAGGTTCTTCATCAATCGTTTAACTGTTAAAAAAGATCAAAAAGTATAATAAAATCCTTATTGTTTTACCTTGTAGATTTGCATTTATCACGCCAAACCCTTATTGTTCATTAATATCGACTTAGCCCCTTGTGGTCTTATATAAAGTGAAAAATAGACCTAAATTATTATCAGTTGTGGCAGTTGACTGAAACACACGCTAGAAATACATGCGAATCATGAAATAAGAAATATGTTGAAAATTATACATCAGTTAACCTCTAACGGGTTCACATTCAATTTATAAGAATTAGAAGTTCTGGGAGGCAGTCAATTGATTCAATTGTGCTTGAACATCTTAATGCTTCCATATTATGCTTGGATAGTATGCAATACATTATACTTACAATGCATAGTCTTGCTCCCACTTTCTTTGAATATTGATTTTGCTACTATAGGCAATTTCAGTTACTATGAGAACAACATATGATCATCAATTGTACAATAAATTCGTATGTTCCCTTATTACCATATCCATGTATTGCTCAATTAAGTCACCTTGCCTCTTAAAGCTGTGGATCTTTCCGTGGTGGGGTTCATATTTTTATGTCATATCTTGATGATTTTGAACGTAAAATGTTAGTAGGGCCTAGTAAGTAACCTAGGCAATATCGGGTTGAAAGAAAAGTTAAAGAAGGAAGTGAAGAGGAAGGAGAAATGAAAAGAAAAGATAAAATGTTAAATAATTGACGGAACTGCCAAGAAAAAAAAATCAGAAGGGAAAAGGATTTTTGAGTGAACAATTCATCCATGTGCAAGTCGCGTCCTCTGGCTCTGGCAGCCCAACTTAGGGTCAAAATTCGGGAGAAGCACAAATTGGGTAAAGTATCAATTACATTAGTTCCTGTAGTAAAGTTCTTAAATCACACATTAAATCACTAGTTTTAACAAAATTAAGACCCGAAATTACACAACAAAGTGTATAGGGAATTACCATCGTAGTAATAATAGACTCTCCATTAGCAGGGAAAAAGGAAAGCAAAAAAGTGTATAGGGGGCAAAGTGTAATATTTTGACAAAAATTCTCTGTTTTTCAAAAACTAGTTTTTCAAATATTATAAAAATTTTTAAAAAGTACTTTAAAAGGTACTCTAAAAAATAGTCTAAATTTTAAAAACCCTATAACTCTTAAATATTCCAAAATATTTTCTAAAAATATCCCAAAATATACTCTAAAAACTCTATTACAGTAAAATTTTTCAAAAACACTCCCAAAAACAGCTAATCCAAACAGAGTTTCTGAGGGAATGTTTTTACATAATTAGTTCATGAAGCAAAGTGAAATACCAACTTATATGAAGGTACACTTTGTTGCTTTGATAATATCATTAAGGCTTAATCTTTTTTGCACCTCTAATGTATATATTTACGAGTTTAGATGCGCAACCACGCTATTTCAATTTGAATTTAAATATCAAACTTTGCAAGCGTCAGAAAACCTGCTTGTCTATATACCATTAATGATTTGTTCATTAAACAATCTCATTTTCAACTTGTTTAAAATAACACCATTATTTTAGCTTTCACTTGTGTTAATTGCACTTTGCACTCTCTGCTCCGACTACCATTTTCATCCTTAAACTACACTTTACTCTTTAAATTGTAAATTTCGTCCCGCTTAAATCCAATTCTTGACGGAAT